GTCGTCACGTTCCGTATATCATTTTTATTTGGAAAGCCCAAGTTGATAAATTTTTGTCTATGTTACATGGACGCTTTCTAATAAATGAACACATGTATATTTTTCTTTAGAAAATGTATGGCAAACTTGTTCATAATATTGTTATAGTGGATATTGAGCTTGTTAAATGCTTATTCTTTATCCATTGGATAAAGTGAAGCGCTGAAAATGAAATAATTTGTCACACAGAAAGCAAAATGAAAAAAGTAGTATTCTGACTTCCAAACAAAGAAAAGAGTGCCTTCGAAGCCAAAGATGGCTCTGATTGTGGCAAATGATTTCTTTTTTTAACCGTAAACTAAAAAATATGTAGGCTTTTCAAACCTAAAGCTTATAGATTTAATCAGCGTATTGTTTCTTTAATTGAGGTTTCCTAAGAGAATAAAAAGTGGCTGAATAAGCCGAATGTTTGTCCTCTTACGATTACTACATCAGATTTAAAGAGTAAATCTACGAATATTTATAAGATAATCGTCGCATTCAGGATCAATTCAGTTAATCTCTTTCTTGAAATACGGATTAAGATATGATATCAGATCTCTCTGAAAAAATACAAGAAATCTCATTTCATTCTAGATTGTTTTGATAGCTACTGGTGAAAAAATAAATTCTTCTCTTTTTTATCATGTAGCACTATCAGTAGATATTTACCTATATTCTAAAACACAACAGTGTACATATGTTTTATTTATTCCATCATCAACAATCTTGTGCAAAAGTTAATGTTCCCGCAGATTCAGTGTTTATCTAGTCATACTGAAAGTTCTCGTATTTTCTCTGACTTCAACATGAAAATACGGTTTTACTGCATGCAGAAACAAAATTTGAGCCGCGTCACGACAAAACCAACATAATGGGTTTGCGACCAGCATGGATCCAGACCAGCCTGCGCATCCGCGCAGTCTGATCAGGATCCATGCCGTTCGCTTACAGACCATATAACAAGTAAAGAAACCGATAGCGAACAGCATGGATCCTGATCAGACTGCGCGGATGCGCAGGCTGGTCTGGATTCATGCTGGTCGCAAACCCATTATGTTGGTTTTGTCGTGACGCGGCTCAAATCTTTCTACGTTTATCACAATGTTTGTTTACATGTTCAGTTTTTTTCTCTCGTTGGAGCTAGATTATTTTCGCAGTAATATACGTCATTGTGTAAAAAGGCTGCATGATAAAGTATGATTTTGTTCAAACCATTAAACGCACTTGTGTTAGGCACTTTAGTATTGAGAGTTGTTACGAATAATTATTTTGACTATGTATCAGTGCAAAGAATGGAACTTCATGTCAAGAGCTTGATTATGTATGGATTTTAAGCCGATTTTTGTTAATGTTTCCTTTGTCGCATGCATGGAATGAGTTACAGCATTTGAAGGTATTACTGTGTACATATTCTCAAATCGAGTGTTTTCAAGGCTAAGAACAAATATAAAAACGTTATTCTGATGTTTTAAAAATATTTAGTGTTTGGAATTATTTTTGTCCAATAGAATTGCAGTATTTCAAATGAATCATAACGTATTTACTTTAGTTAATCAGTCCATGAAATCGACAGTCTTACCAAAAAATATTCAAACACTTAATGGGTTAGCTGCGTCGTTCTTGACCAATTTAATTTTGTACATGCTTATAAATAAATACCTATACTTAGCGCTAAAGAATAATTTTTTTTTTGCCATCAATTACGATAAAATAATGTTTTACAAAGAATTATTGATTTATTGTAGAGTTGTTAACATGTTGACGCATTGCTGTATTGGGTATAAAGATATTAATCAAATTCTCGGAGAAATAGTATAATTAAAACAGCTACAACTTTTTTTATTCGTTTCACAATAATACATGATTAGAAATATCGTGCTGGTATTCTTTAATGAGATTGTTCATTAAAATTCGCAGTAAACACCTGATCTTTATGTTATATTTATATATACATATATGATTAAAATATGAACATACATTTGTATTTCTTATTATTGTAATATAATTATTTACATGTCCAAATATGGGGATCGTCGCGCCATTTTTTATACTTGATTATATATTTAGACTAACATACAATTCACATTCCCGGTGTTTATTTGATTTATGTTTCGTGTGAGTGAGATTCATTTTATGGATATATCTTTAAATTGTAAGACAGTAAGTAGCTTTGATTTTTGTGAGTGTGTGTTGTCTTTTATTTGAGAACGTTCTATTATTTTGAATAACTTTAATTTAAGTAAGAGATTTTTAGATGAATATTAGACACTGCCTTGATATTTACTTTAATCTCAAGCTTGTAAAATCTCTTTGACAACTGATGCAATCTTTAGTGCAATATTTGGTTGATGAAAGCTGTTTGATTAGATATAATAAATTTATAGATTGTGGTAACAAATATTGTAAAATAAGAAAATGGGATCAAAAAGAGTTAACTTGATTATGCTATAAAACTTTTGTTTCATGTAAGACATAAAATTAGACTTTTATTTGGATTGTGTCGATCGTACCAAAAGCCTGCTTATCCGAGACATATTTCTGGAAAGCCGCGGGATTTATAATGCTGTTTTATTGCATACACTACTCTAGTTTGTCTAGCTGAAGAAGTGCTGGCCTGCTGTTTAATGCGGTTATTGATTTTTAAATGTTGTTATTTTACAGTCTAAACGGTCAACGCCTTTTTACTTATATTTTCTTGTGAAATCCTGAATTTCTCATTCTTTGACATATATTTGTAGATATTTCCAACTATGTTTGTCTGATTTACTCACATACATTTTTCAAATAACTTTTTGTCTATACCATCTTTCCCTATATTAATATGTATTTTCCATAGTTACGTTCCAAAAAAACTAAAATAATTAGTATATTATATGTTATGTCAGAACCGACGAGATGTCATGTTTTAAGAAATTATTATACACATGTGTAAACAACGAAGCGCAACTTTTCAAATTTTGCTAAAATAACTTGTCAGTGACGTATATAACTGTTCGAAACTGCCCTTTTTGTGTTAAGCGATTGCTTTGCTCTGGTGCTTCTTAATTAAGAGCTATTTATTGACAATCAATATAGAACTTACTAATGTTTAAAAAGGTTGTTTTATTGTAAAAAAAACTATTATATTTCTTAACAGAAATTCATTGAAAGTTGAAAAACGAATACACCACCACCCCCTGTCAAGAGATGTTACCAAAAAGTGTGTCAAATGATACTGTTTAATTAAATTATACATTTTCATTGGATTATTATTCAGAGCATGATAATTTTATCGATTTTGTCTACTATTGTCTAAGTAACACCTACACTCGTCTAAATAACGGTACTTCTGTATAATGATAACTAAAAAAATGTATGTAAAACAATTAGGAATGGTGGTATGTGTGTTGTCTTGAATGTCTGTCAAAACTGATAAAAAGAAAACTAAAGACAACATTAATTCAGTGCGGGATGAAGTTTAAAAATACCATAGAATCTTTCCATATCACCTCCGACGCTTTCTCTTAAAACAGATCAATACGCGCTTAAACATATTGTAGTCATAAATTATTCTAAATATAATGCTAAGTTATTGAAATAAAATAAAGACAATAAAAAAAACGTTGTAAGATGAATTTGGAATATATCCAACAAAACAAAAGGTTTCAAGAAATTTCTTCAAGAGCGCAAGCACCGTGAATAGCCTAAATAACGGTACTTCTGTATAATGATAACTAAAAAGTTCTTTATTTACTGTGGAAGGAAGAGATACGTTCATCATTTACTCGAAAAGAAACAGTTTTTATGCTATATTCGAAAATTCGAAAATATTTGCAATAAACTTATCAGATATTACTCAGGATGTTTTCAAATCACACATCTTTATATAAGGTTACTACAATGAACGTCACGCAGTGCTTTTGAAATACATGTATTTTAGTATATGAAGTCCATAATTCACTCAGTTGGATATGACTTATATCTTACTAGTATATTTTAGTATCTCATCGGTAACAATTAGATAAAAATTTATATCTTCCTGCTTTATTGGCACAGTCGTTAATAAAACGTTGATTTTAGTCTAAATATATATAAGCCCAAAGCATGTTAATTGACATTGATATTTACAATGTGTGTTATTGTGTTTATACGTATTAGCGTATTATGAAAAGTATTACTTACATATTTCACATATGTCATAAACACAATAAGAGTAATTTTGGAAATAGTAGTATAATTATGTGTCTTTAATACAAATGACGTATTATGTCACAGATTATCAGTATTTTTATAAATCTATCAATACCATAAGCAGACACGGCGTTATTCGGCATTTTCTTGTCTTAAATAGGATTGGACTACAGTTGGCACTTTTTCCATATTTTTTCTTCAAATATTGATGAAAAGTACTAAAGTATCATTTGGATATTCTTATGAAACATTTCTAGATAAACCACGTTGATAAAATGTATAAGTGATTAATACTGCACATTTATATATCAATTGAAATATTTTGTACTGAAACAATTTATTATCTGCTGTCTCTACAAATGTTATATCGGATCTTGCCTCTCGCACTTATCAACAACACTTATATATAATTCTTTTGTAGTTTGTTGTCGTCTGTGATACTAGATAATATCTGTATAATTATTTATATTATCACTGACCTCTATTATTATAATACACCAATTCGCTTTAAAGATTCATGTTGTTGTGTTTATTTAAAAAAAAGCTTGTGAACTCGCCATTTTATGATTTGTTATGAAGTATTAAAATTACTGTTATTTGTTGGAAGTATATGAAATGATAGTTAGAATGTAATGAATAAACATGTGTATGTTTTAATAATTTATGTAGTCGTGTTGCACTTTTCATTGTATGTAATGAAGAGACTAAGTTTCATTCATTTTGTTTACCTTGCTCCAGATGGACCTATCTAATATTTACTAAACTGTTATATAATAAATGCTTTCATGTTTTATTTTCATATTTTTCAGAAAATGCCCCCGCGTGTATGTCGGCTGCTGATATGGATAACGACGGTTTTCTCCTTCGTCCTGGTCGGCACTGCGGACAGAGGTATGTTCAACACCCACATTCAAATGACCATGCATGTTGTACCTATTTTGATACATTAAGCTTACGACATTATTGTTTTTGGCTTTGTTTTCTAATACGTTATATTTTGAATTGTACAAGCCAAAGAAATAATTACGAAAAACTAATTTAATAGGTTACTTAATGATATGAAATGAAACATTTTATGATCCCCAAAGTCTTTTTCACATTAACAAGTTGAACAAGAGCTGTTCTACAGAGAAAAAATCTATTTCAGAACTCCCTTCCCATATCCGAGCTTATTAATGTAGCAGTCCCTAATTAACTTAGATGACTTTTTCCCTAACTGATTAAGCCTTGAGCTTACATGCATAATTAGCTGTTTACAAACTTGAGGTTTTCAATTAATTAAAAGGCTTCACTCAGTGCCAATAAGTCTGTTATAGCGATGTACAACATTGAAACAAGTCTAAAACATTCCCATGCTCAGGAATGTTTAATGCGATAGTGTAGTGATGCGAATGCTGTGCAATTGAAAAATAATAAAACTGGGTTTGTTGCGACACATGCTAGTCACTAAAATACTGTTACAACTTCTCTTGTTGAATGTAAAGTTAACATCTTTCAAGAACACGCAGATAAGATAGATTACATTTTACACTCGTAATGGTATAGGTGAACACAGTATGAATACAAAATATGTCACTTAAAACCGAAGTTTTCTTAAGAAAGGACCAAATTAACTTGACGAGTAATAGCGATTGTAATTTTCAAACATAGTTTGTGCATTCTGTTATTAAATTTAGACATATTCTTAAGAACCATTTACATTTAAATGATAGTTTGCGAAGAAAGATTTTTTACGCAAAAATGAGCATAGTACAGATATATATATATATGAGTTAATCAGGGTGTCGCCACATCGCATTAAATCTTACAAATTTTTCAAAATGATACATCATTTTTTTTATGAATATAGCATTTATTGTATTAATATGCTATTCAAATGACATAAAAATGAAAGTTTTCAAGCATCAGCTACAGTATCAGGCATGAATAAATGTTCATGTTAAGCATTATTATCTTCAAGTCACAAATATCACCGAAATGTACAGATCATGAATCATTAATACAACACAGTAACCGGATTTCTCTAGGGGGTCATCAGTGGAGGAGATACCTAATGCTGTGAAGCTGATTAGACTAAAATAACAAGTTTGGTTTCATCCTCATGCCTATCCTAGGAATGAGATGATATTGATGTATATGCCATATTGTTTGTCAAAAACAAACTCTTGACGGCATATCTGTAATATCAGTAATGCTGTAATGATATAGCTGTTAAATTGACAGAACTTAGACATTAGTTTGAAGTTGTTGAGGGACATAATATTAAGATAACAATTTTTGTGCATTGTGAAGCTTAACGTGCTTACGTATTTTAGGAAATGAACTTGATAACTTTTATGACATCAATAACTGTTCTTTGGTAAAATTGATAAGGTAGATTGTGTATTTCAAAACAATTCAAAACAAAATCAGGATTAATATTGTTACAAAAAGTCAATTTTAAAGGGATACTCAGGCAAAATAATAACGAAAATATTCAAATGATGTTATGTACTTAAATCACGCTAAAATGACATTTCCTAGAGTCCCATCATGAATTTCTGTATAAATTCTATATATGTTGGGTTTGAGGCGTAAGTATATCTATATTTCTTGAACGAAATTTAGACGCCAACAGAATCCCCGAATAGTTTTAAAACAAGTCACGTGACTCAAAGTTACAATTAACAGATATTGTGGAAATTGTATGATTCAAAAAGTCAAAGTCATTCATTTGACACGTTCTTTAAAGTTTCCAGAGTTCACTGTGACGACTATGAAATCTAAGCGTTCTAACCTGACACACGCGGGTCAAGTTAGGAAACCACTATTTTATTCTAGTTTTGTTCCTTTGACTGTCTAGCATATTCATTTTTGAGGAGATCTACAGAATAATGAATAAGAATAAAAACATCAAAACTAAGAATTGAAAATTTTGTCTGTGTCTCCAATTATTTGTGATGTATAATTATGAAATATGCAGTATTGATACCGAAGACAGTAAGGATAACAAAACTCGTTATTTTAAAGAAACGTTCACCTCTTACTCCGCTGGCAACGACTAAATTTACCCAACCTTCAGGGTCTACAATGTCCGCTATTTAGTCAGTAATTATTTTGAATTTTTCTCTATAATTATGAATTGGGTTGTCAAGCTTTGTGATAAGGATAAATCTGCTATTTCTGAAAAGCACACATAGTCATGAGGAAGGCAAAATGTTTGTGAATGTATCCATAGTTACAGAAATCAGTAGAAGTAAATATTGTGATTGAAAAAACCAGCTGGACAGCTTGCTTTCATGGCCATGTGATATATAGTTGCATTGGTCAAAGTTACGATCTACTGTTGGCTTTCTGTTGCTGGTGAAGCTGTTAAGCTGAAATTTAATCTCCAAATACTCGGTATGTGTCACTAATTTTGATACTTTTAGTACTGCTTTAGTCGGTCTATGGGTGTTTGAGAGATTTGTAGTCGTCATTAACATTCATGAACAGATTAAATAAAATTGTCCTCAATTTTAACCGCCATTGCTTTCAAGAGATCTAACCTACAACATTATTTTGAATATATAATTTTTAATCACTAGCTAGCTTGCAAAGGTACTTCCGAAAGTGAGTATTAGCATGGTCTAACTGGGAAAAGGTGTCAATGCTATCTTGGCAAATCTACCGGTATATGATATTTGCCAAACTATTTTTCCAACTATAATAAAAAGACATACATTTTCTATGCTTGATACTAAGATGCAGTTAGAACATACAAGCGATTCCCTGGAGATCTGAAAAAGAGATTACTATTTGATAACAACCGATTTTTGCAGAAAATGTGTTTTTGGAAACATCATTAGATAATGTATGGGAATCCTGCCGAGAGGTGTTAAGAGGCTGATTCATAGATTAAATATATAAATGAATATTTTTTTAATATATCTTTTTTACCTAGTTTGAGTGCAACAACGACTTTTACGTTGTTGTTGTATGAAACAATTCAAGAGGATATTTTAAATTGTAAAAGCTGTTTAATGAGTAAGAGAAAGAGATTGGTGAGGTGTGCGGAGGGTCAAGTAGCGCATTTAGCAAGCTAAAGGGTTTGAGAGGTTTTTCAATCCTCCGCCCTTGCTTGGCCATTTTGTTCTTGTGTATTGCAGATGGTCCTGTGTTGTTAGATTTTTTGGGGGCTGCTTTATTGAAGGTTGCTCTGTATTATTGATACCGGTATTTGCTCTTTAAACATAATAAAATTATTGCAATGGTCATTAACGCTCATGAAGGAACCATATCATTTAGTGTATCATTCTCACATACTTTTTTTGTCTGAGTGCTATTGTTTTTGCCAGAAATTCTATAAGATTATTTTACGTGTTTAGCACTTATATACAAACAAATGAAAACTAGCCTGTAAAGATTGTACCGTTTGAATTTATGTTGTATGGAGATACTAAGATTTAAATGTTTTACTGAAACCCTAGCTTGTCTGTGTGATGGTTATACTAGAACACAATAATTTTAAAACAAGAAATTTAGAAATGTACTTATATTTGAATATTAAGTTCTGAATTGTAGTATCCATTGCATTGAAGTATTTAACCAAAGAAGTATATTTAATAATTTAAGTTGTCCTGGTAATTAACAAATACCCTTGGATTTGCCCCCGTCCACTCGACGTTTGTCTGTTCATGTTCGGTACCCTGCAAGATGCCTTCCGGGTAGTTATATTTGCTAGATATCGCCGGTGACTGCGTAACGTAGGCGCTGCTCTTTCTTGTTGATCCTTGCCTCTTTGCTTTTTTTTTATTTCCAGAAGCAATATCTATACATCATTTATGTGGTAATTGCATTTTTTTTCTATGAAGTCTATAAATCTAAATTACAGACAGATAATCAGCAAAGTTATTGTCTAGGAAGAATATTGATCGCCTATCGTTTCATGTGCATATGGTAAGGAAAAAACGAATATGCTTGGATTAAATGATAAATATATTAATTTGTTGAGACAACGTCAAATTTGTCTGAAACTCACAGAATGATATCTTATTAAGGATAATATTTCTTTAGAGAAAATTGTTTTTGTACTGTTGCAATCTATCTATTTGTTTAAGCAAAGGAATCACTGATTTTTTTATATCAATTATTTCAAAAGTCATTCTTTAAGCATCGTTACTTTCTATTTAATATAATATTAGTTCTGAGATACTCTTGGTCAGAAAATTGTGCAAACGTTGCAATAAGAACATTTTAATATTCGAGTTGCTATAATATAGATTTACTTTCCCCTACAGCATTTACATTTTGGCAGATTGCTTTTTTCTAGTGGAAATGACCAGGCTGATAATTTGGCTTCAGACAGAATCTGTCAACAAATTTGTTTCCAGGGTTTCCGTTTATGTATTCAAATTGAAATAGGTTCTCTTATTACCTCAGTGTTGTGTCTATTGACAAAAATCTTGATTATGAAGTCATTTTTACAAAATATGTTCTAACGGACCAAACTAAGCTTCGGGAAAATCATGTCAATGTTACAATATGCTTTTATTAAAAGCAATATGCTTTTATTAAAAGCACTAAATGTTAAACTGTATATAACTTGATTTGCTGTTCTCATTTCTTTCCTCCTATCAGCATATTCATAATTCAGCTCTAACAACAAAAGTAAAAGGTGTGCTTTATCTTTGTATTCGCATTTACTATTATAAAACTAATTTCATATAATTAAATATCAGAATCAGTTTGCATATTATATATCAACACTGATAAAATACCATCATCCATTATTACCGTAACGTATTCTTTTATTTTTGTTCAGCGTTTACATGTTTGGTACAATCAGTGCCTTATGCTACCCTTGGATTTATCTACGCGTATCGTCATGATATATTATCTTTTCAAAAAGTACAATATCAAAATATATATCA